CCCTTGTCAAGCTTAAAGCGACCTGAGGATCGTGACAAACAGTTAAAGTCCAATGTAGAAAGCACCCTGAGAGAATAAAAGCTAGGCATCACTGGAGGGGCAGAAAGGAATCCTAGAGGAATTGATGGCTCGATTGACACACCTCAAAGGTTCCTGGGAGTCCGTTGAGCCAACAGACTCAAGTCTGTTCCCATAGGAAGGAATGGTGTGTGCTGAGTCCTGAGGCTGAGAAGGAGCATGGTGTGTTTGAAAAGAAGGACACGGTTACACGGTTAGAACTTACAGGCTGGTAAGAGATAAGGCAGGAAAGGAGGGAGGGGCTTATCAGGAAGAGCTTGGTAAGCTGTTTTAAGGCATTTAGATTTTATCCTTAGAGCTTTGAGGAACACCAGCCTATGAAAGCAGGGTAGCGCCATGGTGGTGTGCGACTTTAGAAGAGTCACCTGGCGACACAGTTGGGGAATGGTTCGCAGGGTAAGGCTGGAGGCAGGGGGTGGCTTCGTGGGCTGGAGATGGTATGAGCTATGGTAGGGATGGTGGGCCCAGGAGAAATGGACTTTGCTTTGAAAAGGAATTTAAAAATAATTGATCTGATTAGTGTGTGCATGTGCCTGAGGGTTTGAGTGAGGAAGCGGGTAGAGAATCTTGAGTCACACCACGTCTCAGGCTGTGTGTTGTGGCGGTAAATAGGATGTTGATGAGGAAAGATGACTGACAGTCATGTTTGCGACACATTCGTTTTGACGAGACTATGAGAAAATCAAGTCTAGATGGACTGTGGGCAGGTAGGTATATGGGTGGGAAGCTCAGCAAAGGATTTGGTCTGAGGTGTTTGCCAGAATACGCTGAGGGGGAAGTGTGGCAAAAGGAAAGATACACAAGGTTAAGTTCCCTTCAGGCTACTGCTTGTTTTGGTTTTTATTTTATGTTTTAGCTTCATTGAAGCATAAGTGACAAAATTATAAAATATTTATAATGTCTACCTTGTGAAAGGATTCCCTCCACTGAGTTAGTTAACACATCCATTACCTATTTACCTTTTGTGTGTGTGTGTGTGCATGTATGTGTATATGGGTGTGTGTGTGTAGTGAGAATGTTTAAGTTCTATTTTTTGAGCTAATTTCATTGATAACAATACACTGTTATCAATTATAGTCACCATGTTATACATCAAATCCTCAGACCTTATTCTTCACAGGACTCCACACAAGTGATACCATGCAGTATCTGTCTTTCTCTGTCTGGCTTATTTTACTTAACATAATCCCCTCCGGGTTTATCCATGTTGTCTCAAATGACAGGATTTCTTTATTTTTTAAGGGTGAATAATACCCCAATATATTTATATAAATACCACATTTTCTTTGTTCATTTATCTGTCAATGAACACTTAGGATTGTTTCCATACCTTGGTGATTATTAATAATGCCTCTATGAACGTGGTAGTAGAGATATCTCTTAATGATGTCATTTCCTTTGGGTAAATGCCCACTAGTGGAATCACTGGATCATGTGGTAGTTCTATTTGTAATTTCTCAAGGAGCCACCATATTGTTTTCTGCAGTGGCCACACTGGTTTACAGTCCACCAACAGTCCCTCCTCACTTGCTCGTTTTAATTTGGTCTGTTTTATATTTCTTTTCAGTCTCTGATGATGGGTCATTGCTTATTTTTGTAACTGGCAAATGTAGTCTTTCTATGTGGTGGTAATAACGCAAAAACAGCTGCTACTGATGGAGAGAAAAGCATGAAGGAAAGGAAAAACAGAAAGTCAAGAGGAAGAATCCCAGAGACGTGTGACGAAAAGCTGCGTGTGAGCCCATATGCTGGCCCAGGAGCTGTGGGTTGGCCAGGTGGCTCCTGCTTCCGGATGCCTTTCCTCTTGCTCCTCTTGCTTTCTGCTTCGGGTTCATTCATCTATGTTTCTCTCCACTTCTAACTACTCAGTCCCCACATTAGTCCAAAAGCTTCATTTTTACATCTTGGCCAGCAACAAAATAGTGATTATTTCTCTGAAACTTCACCTGAGCCTAACGTCTTGGCTTTGGTGTTTTGGACTTCACCCAGGCCTGTGTGAAAGGCACCTTGGGGCTCATCTGGTCACAGGTACAAGGAGTTCTTCAGTGTGTTCACACACTGTATGTTTCAATTCATACAGTTGGTGTGATGTTGTTTGTTTGTTTTTTTTTTTAAATTAGCTCTACTTCAATGGATTTTCATAGGCATTGTTTTCACAAGACCAAAGACTAAAGTGTGAAATGAAGTTTCTTCTTAAAGAAACTAAAATCAATTGCTTTAATTACGTACCTTTACCAAGTTATCCTCAGGGAACAAAAAACTACCTTGTTGTTTTCCTTCTTTGATGTAAGTTGAAGACTTGCAAATAGTTGTTAATGGTGTTTGTTGCAGAAGAGTTTGTTTTAGTTGTTTATTTCCAATGTGTTACCTATACATTTTTTTTCTTGTTGCCAATTTACCAATTCTAAATTTTCAGGTAGTTGGGAGCAGGAGAAAATCCATTTTGTCACCAAAGGCTTGCATTACAAACATGATTCTGCTCTACATCTACTTTCTTTCTTGTTTAGGGATGAATTCAATTGCACAAATCCAGTGTATTTTATCAGTTGAACATGTCAGTTCAGGAATTTCACTTGGTTCTATAAAGATACACATCTACAATGGATGGCCAGTGCAAACACAACATTTAGCCAATTGGTCTCTGACCCCATTTGGTTCTCCTGTCTTCTGGCTTGCAAAACAACTGTTTTTGGGAGGAAAGCGAATCAGTTAATTCTTGGTTTGAAAGATCGTTGCCTGTTTTCTTCTGAGACGTAATGTAAACTCATTTTTTTTTTTTTTTTTGGTGTTAAAATAAATCAGCGGGTACTGCATAAACATCAGAGGAGACCAAACACAGAAAGTTTCTTTGAGGTGTCAGAAATCTGCATCTTTTGCTTAAAGTTAATATCTGTCCTGGTAAATTTTGTTTCTGGTTCTATTATTTCCTCGGTTTGTCCCTGTTAATGAGGGTGATTCTAAACATAATAATTGTGCCTGGATAATTGAGGCAGTGTGTGGTCTCCTACTAAAGTTGTCAGTTTACAATTTTGCGGGCTAGTTTGCTGGTTTCTATTATACAAAAGAAGAATGTACAAGTTAATTTGATATGAAGCTCATGGATATAGTAATTTTTATAATGTATATCTAAAGATGAAGAACCAAGTTTTATGAGACCAGTCTTTCTTGTAAAGCCCCACCCACCCTATTCTAATTGAGATTGACCCTTAAACTGAATAATGAACTAAGAGTTCTGTAGGTAAAACATTTCACTGCAGAGGTGTCTGGGTGGCTCAGTTGGCTAAGCACTAGACTTGATTTCCACTCAGGCCATGAGCTCATGCTTCCTGGATCCAGCCCCTCATCAGCTTCATACTGATAGCGTGGGATTCTCTCTCCCTCCCTCTCTGCTGCTCCCCAACTCTCTCTCAATATAAAAATAAACACACAAAACCCCCACATTTCAAGATGCATGTTGCATCTTGCATTTAGTGAATGGGAAAGTGGAGGCACAGATAATCTGAATTACAGGGTGCAATATTTCTTCATTTTTCTTTTTTTGAGAATGGGAAACATTTTAAAATAGCACACATCATCTCCATAGTCTAAATTCAGGTGTAAGAATTTAGATTTCTGTATGTGGACTTCTTCATAAACCCATGGCGATATTTGTTAATTTGTAGAGTTTAATGTTCTGCACACTATAAACCAGACTTCTTTTGAGGGATAATGTTGGATGGCATGAATCTGCAAATAACATTGGGAAGCCATGTCCTGAGGGGTAGAAAGAACACCAGAATGTTTTTTGTTATGGAAGCCAAGGGAAAAGCATGTTTCAGGAAGAAGGGAGGAATTGTCAGATGCTTCTGATAAGTCAAGTATGTTGTGGACTGAAATATCTGTTGAATTCAGCAATAGGGGTCAATGGCGGTATCAGGATTTAAGTCACGTTTGTGGGACGGCTAAGGTAGAAAACAGGCTTGGGTTGAGCCATGCAGGAGAGCTGAGGAAAAAGCAGACCTCAGGTGTGTAGACATCTCTGAGGAGTTGAACTGAGAAGGGATGTAAGATGGAAGTTTGAGAGTGATGTGAGATCACGGGAGCCCTTTTTTGTGGGACAGAGTCACACGTGATAAATGTGAATGAGAACGAAGCATTTGGGCAGTAGAGATTCTGTAAACAAGAGGGAAAAGAAAGAAGATTAATAAAGAAAGAGGATTAGTGAACGGTAACAGCAACAGTATTTATTGAGTACTTACTACATCCGGGGCACTCGGGTAAACCCTTGACATGTATTTTCACATTTAATTCTTAGAAAAATGCCACATAGTGGGCTCCATTACTTTCTCTAGGAGAGAGAGGGGTAAGTGAGATGTTAACTAATATGCTCAGCTTCCTCCAGCCAGTATGTGATGGACTAACTTCTCAACTTAAGGACTGAACTTTGCTGCCACTCCAGCTCAGCACCTTGGACTTGAATTTAGGTGTTCCAGGCCGCATTTGAATACCTCCCTAAAGATTCTTTAAATTATACCATAAGAAAGGCCACTTTGAAACTCTCTGAGAGTTCCAACAGTTTTCTTCCAATGATCTTAGCTAGCAGCGTGGGTCAAAAAGGGAAAACAAAGAAAAGAAAAACAGGAAAAAAAAAGAAAAAAGCCTTTGTTGAGAAAGTGTGTGAATGTATATGAAACCTTGTGTGTCGCAATATAAACTGTATGAACTGAAGGTGATTCGCCCAAAGAACTCCCGAAGTGATCGGCTGAGACGAAAATCAAGTCTAGGAGACTTTTCCCCACACTGAGAAGGGCGGGAAAGGGAGGGCGTGCAGAGGGAGCAGCATAAACAAGTGATAGGTACACACCCTCCACGTGGCTTCCTGTCGATTCCGACTGGCTCTGTTGCTTGAAATGATGTTACTTCTGTTCTCCTGCTTTTCACAGGACATAATGACTACATGTGTCCGGCTACCAACCAGTGCACCATTGATAAGAACAGGAGGAAAAGTTGTCAGGCGTGCCGGCTGCGGAAGTGCTACGAAGTAGGCATGATGAAGGGCGGTAGGTACCTGCGCCCCCGCCCGGCTCTGGCCCGCCCGCCCGCCTCCCCCTCCCTGCCTCCCTGCCTCCCTGCCTCCCTCCCTCCTTCCCTCCCTCCCTCCTTCCCTCCTTCCTTCCTCCCTCCCTCCCTTCCTTCCTCCCTCCCTCCCTCCCTCCTTCCTTCCTCCCTTCCTCCCTCCTTCCCTTCCTTCCTTCCTCCCTCCCTCCCT